GTCGATATTAGTCTTCTCTAAAATATTGATAAAATTTAAATTTTACCACTTAGTTTGAATAACTCATGTATTAGATTTTCTTACGCCGAAAGATATGCAATATTTTTGATTTTACTGTGATAACAAATTGGCATATTTGTACTAACCGGGGTGCATCATCAGACCAAATCCAAATTAGAGCCATAATTTTTTAAAACTAAATAGTACAGGTACGTGTATTCGTATAATCATTTCATATATTTGTACATGTAGGTAGGTGAAAACTTTTACCTTTTAAAACTAACAATAAAATCCATCCTATTCGTAAAATACCAAAAATACATAAAGAAAATTTCAATATCAAACAAAAAACTTGTAAACAAGAGGAGCCGAAACGACACATGAATTTCTTATTGAAAACAAGAAAAAAAATTTATGAGAAATCGTGGTGTTGGCAACATTCTTATTGTTCTTTTGTTTTTGTTTCTGCTTCATTATTTGTATTTCACATTTTATCCTTACTCAGACTAGGTAAGGTTACAATCTGCCAACTCACTTTAAAAAATTAAACACATTAGACACAAGGAAAAGTTGTGGGAATTTTCCCAGGAAAGAAAAGAAAGAAGAGAAAATAAAAATTTAAAAATCTATGAATCAATTTTTATTTTTTGTCTTAATATTTTCAATTAATGGATCGGGACATGCACTCCAAAAAGGAAAGAGCAAAATATATTTATCCTTGATGATATTTTATGAACTTGTAATTCTTGTTTGGTTTTCCTATACGATTCGTTTTTTCTTTTCTATGCAAATATGAAGACATTCTTTGGAATGAATCATTCAATCGTTGAAAAGAGGAAAAGAGCAGAAAACCATTCATAATATAAGATAAAAACAACAACACCACTATAGAGGAATACAATCGTATAGTCTAAAAGAAGAAAAAAGAAATGAATATGAAAAGAACTAGGTTATCATATTAGAGATCTCTGGTGTTGAAAGAGATAGGATGGCGCGACGGTATTAAAAAGCGCTAATAAAACATAACAAAAAGTGAAAGAAAATCACAATCAAGGAAAATGTAACAGTGTTTTTTTCTATGTTCTTTGGTTTTTGCTGCTGTTTTCAAAAAGCCTCCCATGCCTTCATGGATCGTTACTCAAATCTGATAATATTTACACTACAAGACTAAAAGTATGATTTAAACAAAATATGAGTATAAGTTTTTTAAATTTAAAGAAGAATTTTGCTCAGCATGAATGACCTGTTCGAGTATCAAAGTCCTTCGATTACGAAAATCTCCAGTGTATTCGAACATTATGTCATTGATTAAGGTTTAATGACATATATTTCGTAAATGTGGCTACGGGTGGGTTTAAAATTTATACCTTTCCATTCAGTAATATAATTTACCTAAATGTTGAAAGACTAGATCAAAGTGTGAGTCAGTTTTTGATCCACCGATACCATTTGAGAATCTCTTTTTTCTACTTATTTAGATTTTTATATATGAATTGAAATTTATTGAAATTGCTCCCGAAAAAATTTCCAGTCCTCTTTCTGGCACTAAAACCGTATGTAAGAATGCTAGATAAAGAGGAATCGTAATTTGCAGTTCATGACTAAAGACCTTTTTGATAGTTCTCTGAATATTCTGAAAAATGTAAAGGTTTAACAAGTTCATCAAATTTATTTAAGCAACAGTTTATGACGGTCAGGAACAATTTTTAAAGTTGAAAGAAAAACACCAAAATTAATTACCAAAATCTACGAAACAATCTCAGTTCCTCTTCCATAAACGATAATTTTTACTTAAAAATACTGTGTATGCTTTTTTATTTTTATCACTTCAAGTACCTATAATTTCGTATTCACTTTTGTATTCATTTAAAAATAGGATTCTCAAAGATAGGTACTTGTGATTCCCATTTGGTTGTTGTACTACAAACAAGAAACATTCGAATTATTCACAGGCACATAGTCTATACGTACTTATTAGTATCATTTAGGCTAAATAAAATTGAATTTGAAGCTTAGGGTTACTTTGTATTGTACACAAGTCTGGCATTTTTTTTCTTGTAAATAAAAAAATTATACCGGTAAAGGTACACAAAATGTAAGTCTATTTTTTTTATAGAATCGGATTACGAGTGAAAAAAGAAAAAAATAGAAAATAAAAATTATAAAATCGGATCACATGATAATGGGTTGGAAACGTTCCTCTTTTTTTTTTGTAATTTTTGCTGGAAAAATTGTAAGAGCAAATATCTGGAAGGGAATCTGTGTTTCTTGCTTGTTTCATCTATATACACTATCTCTTTAAGTATTAAGAGTTTGAGTGCATGAAACGAAAAACAATAAAAGGAAGGAACCATCAACACAGGCAGGATATAAAAATGAAACATGAGCCTAGGAAATTTTTTTTTTGTTTTTTACTCTTTCTACGAGTACAATTTTTTTTAAATTATACTATAGGCTCTTTTCTGTATTTAATATTGAGCTCATTGAATGTGATATGAGAAAAAAAAAGAACAGGAAATAAACAAGGATTTACATGAGAATTAAGTATCAATCCAAAATGATGGTGTTATATTTAAACCAATTTATATACCCCAGTCAGAGTTTTTTGTTGATATTGATTTAGAGGGTGTAGAGAGTGTGAAATGAGATGTCTTTGCACCGAATTTATGTGTACCAAAAGTAAGTCTGCAAATAATGTGGTTATATATTGCCCTTGGAGGGCATTTGTGCATTTAAAGTTTATGCTACATTTTTGCAAAAAAAATGTTCAAATATAATATTTACTTATAATGCTTTCTAACTTTAAGGCTGACTACATCATATTTTAACTAAGGTACTTCAGACTGTACTTTGTGATCCCTAGAAATAGTCATAATGTAAGCAGACTGTAAATCACAAAAGATGCTGTTGAATCTCTTAAAAAAAATCTCTTAAAAAAATCTCTTATTTTATAAATTTGGTGTTAGATGAAGGGGCATGCTAATAACAACATTTTATAATGAGGTTCTCTATACCTGCAAGACTCTGTCTGGCACATCCAAATTGCAAACGAACGTTGGTAAGCTTTTTGAATCTAATATTCCCGGATATTTATTTGTTCTAGCCCACGAAATCTTCTTTTATAGCTAGGGCTGGACACTTGTACACCATACTTGGAATTACTTTCTGTCGTAATCTGCTTCTTCAAGTTTTTAATAATTCTACAGACGGATTGAAGAAATGAAAATAGTAAATGAGCTTTTTGTTTTAATTTCACTCTGTGTTGCCAATAGTTAGCCTCTTAAAATTGTTATTTTTAAGGTTGTTAACATCTGTAGAAATATGAGCACGAGCCTTGATAGTCGAGTCGGTCTTATTACATTGTTCTTCTATGTTGTGTTATCTTGTATCGCTGAGTGATTGTACGAGTATAATACTAGCCTATCGCTGAGCACGAATATTTTTTTTGATTTTTGACAAACATTTAAAGAATTATTTTTGAAAACATCTAAAATCCCTCTACTGTTTCACTTAAGAACTTGTCTCATATTGCATTCTTTAATAGCATAATCAAAAAACTTTTATATTCTTTAAAATACAATACGAATTTCTCTCCGGATATTGCTAATTTTTATTTTTAATTCATCTAATATTTTAATTTAATATTTTTCCTTTCGATTTGTATAACAGAGAGTTTTCAATCAAATTATAAGAGTTGAAAATTGTTAAAGTTTATAATAAATTGAAATTTATTCCCTAAACAATAACAAAAAAGAAAGAAGTTTAGTGTTGCTCTTCTTATTTTCTTCTCTTTTATTTTTATTAGAAAAATTGTAATAAAGCAAATTTGAAAATAAAAGGAAAAAAAAGTACTAATACAGGTGTTCAAGTTTTCACGCAATCATAACTAAAAGAGAAAAGTGGTATTAAATTTAACAGGTGTTCGTCATTTTATAGAATATTATATAAATAGTAAAAGTGGAAAAGAAAGAGAAAGAAAGTGTTATATAACTGTGGTAAAATCACATTTTGAAGTCTAAACGTCAAAAAAAATTTTTGTTTTTTGTGAGAAAAATGGAATTATTAAATTGTTGTTGTGCTTTTTTTGACTTTTTCTTTTATTTTTTAAACTTTTCAGACTGAAAATGAAATTACTGAAAACTTTTTTTGTTAAATTGAAATTTTATTTTGATTAGCATATTGTGTGTGTGTCAGTCGTGTGTGTGTAGTGAAGAGGGATGAGAGAATTCGTTATTTTTGTTACAAAGCTAAATTAAAGAATATAATATGATTAAAAAATTTTTAATCGAAATTATAATAATAAATATTGGGGAATAAATATTTCATATATGAATGAATGTAGTTATAAGAGTACACCTAAAATACAAGGGGATCTGAGATCAATTTGGATAATATTAGTGGCATTATTGATTATCATTAAGTGATTGTAGTGAATCATTCTAAATTTTTTGATTAAAATTTAAGGTGTGTGGAATTTCAATTTGTTTCCTAGAATTCAGTTTTGTTTGAAGTTACCTTAAAATTTGGTTGGTGTACTGATTGGTGAAATGGTGTGGTTGGTAAAACAAAATTTATTCATAAAAAGCAGAAATTACCTTGTTTATTTCTAGTATTCAAGCCAGCTGACTAGAATGATTTAAGTTAAAAGGTCTTACTAGTGTAAAATATATCTTAAATTGAATTATTTTCTTTCACAGATACCCTTCAGACAACAAATTGAGTTTTGTGTTGCTATAACAATAGGCGAGTAAATTTAATTCTCATACAACTAATTAATACCCAAGAAGTATCTGAACAATATTTCCTATCTAAAGCAAACATTTGATAATATTTTATTTCTAATCTTTACAAAGCACCTTGTAAATATTGAAGTATAGACTAGATGTCTTAAAATTTTTGGAATATTTGAAAATATTGATCGCATAATTAATTTCATATAAAATTTAATTTGATTTTATTTTTTATTTTTTTTCCTTTGTTTTCTAAATTTCTATCACCAGGTGGAAATGATTTTTGTACATTTATTTGTACAATGAAAAATCCAGAAATTTTACCAAAATTACATCGTAGAAATATGATTAAAGCTTTAAGATATTTACGTGATAATTTACCAAGGTAAGTGAATTAAATTTTTTATTTATATAAATTTTAAATATTACTTTTACAAAATTTTGTACAATTAATGTACTATGTAACTAATGTAATAACCTACTAGATTTGTAGCAGGCCTTTACAACACCCGCTCGAAACCTGTTCGGCTGACTGCAGTTGAGGAGTAATGAGTACGTAGTTCTCCACTATTTTCCTTCAGCTGCAAAGTCTTCCAAAAGATGCACTGAGGTCCCTCTACATCCTTCCCACAAAATCGGCGTGTGTCCTCACTATTTAGGTGTAGTCTCCTAAATTGACCCCTAAGTCTGCAATGCCTTGTCAATACATTAGTGGAAATTCTCACCGGGCTCCTATCTAACCCTATGATCTTCCTAAAGTGTCTCCCAGAAGATTCTTGACCTGCCGTTTTAGTATACCTACATAATACTTAACCTATTGTTATGAAATTTTAAATATTTTTTTTAAAGTATATTTTAAGTATTCAATTTAACATTTCTTTAAAACGACTCTCTCTACTCTATACCTCTATATGTAATAATACAAAAAAATGTATTGAATGTTGTAACATAAATTTACAAACATAATAAGAACATAAGAACACTTTTACAATTATTTTTTTTCTTGTTGTTTAACATCAAGTGTTGATGTTTTCATGTTTTCCATATTCAGGATAGTATGTAGTTATGAAATATGGTAAATGTTCGTGGTTTTCCTAGACATACACATTTGTACAACCCACCTAAGTGTACGTTCAAGTAAAATAATAATTTTTTTTTGTTGTATTTTGCATAAAAAGTATTGTGTGTCATGCTTGGCTCGAATTTATTGTTTAAATATTATTTTGTACTTATATATTTTGAAAATCTATAACTTATCAGATAACCGCAACCAAGAAACCAAAATAACCCAACTAACCAATATTTGGTTTTGATATGTTAGAGAGCTCTTATACCTACATTACATTTTTTTTTCTTTTATTGTATTAAAGTTCTTTTATATTTGCTATCATATTTATTGTGTGTTGTTATTGTGTCAAAATTATTACAGTGCACGAAATCCATAAAAATGTAATGAAATTAGATCAATAAAACAAAAAAACTGCAGGTAAATATTCAAGGTAGAGAGCATATTTTCAAAGTTTACTTCATCGTAAAAAAAAGTCTTGAGTGCATGTGTTGAGTATTTTCATTAAAAATATTGCTGTACGCATGAGTGTTCTCTCCGCCACTTAGTGTACAATACCGACGTAACACTAGCATGATGTCGGTCGGTAATTTTAGGACTTTGCGGAGGTGGAAGATGTGGAACATGTTCTTTGTGACTATTCGTCCCTGTTGTAGAAGACTTTTCTTTACCATGTCCTCAGAGACCTGTCGGGGGTGTCTTTGGAGTGGCTTTTGATATTCATCAAGGAAGTTAAATGATTCCGGTAGATGGTTTTTTTAGATTGATATCACATGGGGTTTTAAGGTTTAATTTATGGATTGCCGCTAGGTCTTGTTGGCCAAATGCACGGGTTTTGCGTGGGTGGCTGGGTGGGTTCCGCCTCTCTTATTGCGAGTACTACTCTTTATTTTGTTTCAAAAATATAGAACTAAATATTGAATACGAGTAGGTACCAATAGTTAAATGTTCTATGATTTAAAATTCAGAATAATTGCTTTTCGAAAAAATACCTTGGAATCACAAACTTACATATTGTATCTGAATGAATATTTACTGGTAATTAAATTATGTATCCTCCTTAAAATTTATACAAAAGAATATTAAAGCCAGCTAGAACATTATAATCATAATGTACACGCATATATACATACAGTTATAAACTTTATGTAGACATTTTATAATGGAAGAAAATTATAGGGTATACGTTTACAACATTCACGTTGGCCGTAAATTTAATGACAATATTATTTTCGATTTATCATCTCATTAACACTGTACTATAATTATTACTGTTTTTATTTACTAACTTGTATTGTTATTATGTTTTTCTCTTTTGTATTCATATTGTTATATTTTAAATGTTATAAATCAAAATCAAAAGGGAAAAGGGATACGAATATTAAAAAAAATATTAAATCTGATATTGATGAGTTCCTTATAGCTTGTTATTATTTCCCCTAATATTCTTACATTGATTAAGGACCCATATAAAAATATATGTATAGCTTTATACATTATTAGATAATGAATGTTTTATGAATTCCCGAGAAAGTTTGATTCTTGTTCAACATATTGGTGTTCAATAATTTAGTATTGTTTGTATATTCTTTGTTAAAAAAGTTGGAAATATTAATTAGAAAATAATGAAGAATATTAATGTTGCATGACTGTTTCTCAATCTTAATAATTTCTGATTAGTTCATAATTCAATTGAGAATATGGTTCAATTGAAAGAGAGTGTGAACTATGAGTTTTAATTGAAATTTTTTGTTAAATGAAAATCGACTATGGTCTAAAAATAAAATATTAAAAATGTAAAATATTAGTATAATGAAGTGAATTCAATAAGATGTCTACATTCACACGAGTTGACATTCGTTCTCGATATTTGCTGCTAATATTAGTTTCATTCATCATTGTTGTGGACAACATTATTATTCCGGCTATGTTGAACTACACCTCCTTAAAAAATAAAACTCAGCTACTTGAGATCTGCTGAGGTTTTTAATGTTCCACGTCATAGTAACCCACTAATATCATCGTAGGATTCCTCGGAAAAGCTGCTCGGATTCATCAAAAGAATGGGTCTCGAAGGGGTGTTCCAGGCAAGATACTCAACGGTCGTGATGTAGGGCAAAATAGATTTTTCAGGTCGCATTGTGTCATCGCTCCAATCTGCAATCTACTATATCACACGAAAAGAAAATCAGAAATTTACACCTCATGAGTTTAAACTGTCAATTCTTCTTTTAATTAAATTTCAAAATTTTCCAAAACTTAATCTTAAATACTTGCAGATTATTTAATTTATAAACTATTATTGATTTTATTTAGGAATAAATTATACGTAAATTTTACATTATTATTGTATTATCACGTGAATACTAATTTAATAGCTTAATTATATTCTTAAAATACATTTTGTATTTATAATAATGAAATTTAAATTAATATTTTCTTCTTTGAAATTTATCTTATTATTTCCTTACATTTTTAATAATTAAATTTTCAAGCATCAAATTAGTAATATTTTGATATGGTATTAATTAGTTATTTACATTTTTAGTATATAGAGTTTGTACTATATGTATACTTACTTACACACTCATTTACTATTGTTATAATTTATTCAAATCTTCTATATTATATTTTTTAATATTTATTTTACACAACACTTAATCAATTTCTCATCATCAATTATTCATTTAATACGTCATCTGCATATATAATTATTATCTGTTTTATCATCTCTCATTTTCTTTTTTTTAATTTCTGTCGCTGACATCATAAAGTCATTGTTATTTACTATTATTGTGTAACATCACAATCACCATCATTATTAACATTGATTACGATTTCTTCAGTATTACTCTCATCTAAACTCATTTAAATAAATTTCTTAAATTGAAAAAAAAAAGTTAAAATTAAAATTCTAAATTCTCCTTGGTCCTAACGAATGCAATATAGAAAGTGTGTCCTGAAATTTTTGATAGTATTGTGGAAATTCATCGCACTTCAAACAAGTCATAAATTTGTTCATCTTTACATGGAATGGGCCCTTTTATAGCTAATGTTCCTGGTGGAGTTTGACAATCAACTTGTATTTAATTGAAAAACATGCTAAGTTACGTTTTTAACGAAAATGTTATAAAAGCATATTATTGCTCTGATTTCCATTTAGTAAAACAATACATACGAAAACTGAATATCTCACTCTGCGTTAAGTTAGAAGAAAATGAAGTTGTTCTAAAATTGTTCAATCCCTCAAACCGACCCTTAATCTTATCTACTGTCTTTAATACATCATTCTCAGACCTTTTACCGTCGGTTCTTTTTTCCAGTTCTTTATTAGTAATAGATTAAATAAGTATAAAAATATGGAAAAATTTTTATATCCTATTTGCAGATAAATTGATTTCTCAGAATATACCAGAATTTATAATATAACAAACATTTGCCATAAATCGTTTGATTTCGTTAAAAAATGAATATTGATAATTAAGAGGAAATAACACTATTAAAAGATGAGAAGTGAAAAAGTATATTTTATTATAGTCATAATAGATAGCATATTACTTTTTATTTTATGAGAATAATAATAGAAAATATCACTTTCAATTCTATATTTACAAAGAAAACAAATACATACACTTATAACATACACTTTTGTATAACATTATTTTAATAATCAAAAACGAAAATGTTATAATAAAGTTATAAGTATATATGGAAATAAAAGTTTCATAACAATAATGTTCAGTTAGGTTATACAAAATGATTAACATAAACACATTCTCGTATAAGTATTCATAAAATTTGTGTGTTCCTTACTTCACTTTCTCTCTTTTTCTATTTCTCTCCAAATACTTATTATGAATTCTCCACATCTTATTATTTTTATTCTTTTATACTTATTATACCTACCATTTTTTAGAAAATCAGTAGACTATAATGTCATATTAGCGTACGTAATAGATATTAACGATATACATATGTATTATTAGAATATAGATCCATCGTATTACACACATATAACGATTCATTTCAAGCAATTTAAAAAGAAATTTATATTTTATTTCTATCTATCATGTCTAATTATTATTAACGTCTCGTTTAAAAATTTAATAATTTGTAGACATTTATCTCATTCTTATTTTAATATATTTTATTGAAGTATGCTTGTATTTAAATATATAAAGGAATACAGGTATCTACTTGTAATACGTATCTATAGATGGAAGCAGTTAAAACTTGAATATTACTTCTTCATGATTTACTGAAGCGTTTTGTAATTCCATTGTTTGTCATGAAGGAATATTTATATTGAAGCAAAATAG